ACATAATACTTGCTGCATTTAAGCATACAAAGTAGTCATTAACAAACAGCAACTCACATTTATTAGGTAGAGTAAACCAGAACCAATTGCCAGCTAGTATACATTGACAATGATATTTAAAATTCTGATCAGTTAATCTGTTTGAAAGATATTTAAACTTGTAAAGTTGTATCCCATGATTTATTTGTGTTACTAGTTTGGTGCATTGGTACATTCACAATAGTAGTTTTGACATACATAAACCTGATGAATATGAACTAGGTTTTGTGTAAGCCATTTATGCACAATTTGTAGCACATGGTTGTACTTTTAAAGTGTATATAGGCCCTAACTATGAACTTTATTTACTCAATTTTAGTCTGTGCAATTCACAATTAAAAGGACTTAATTATACATGTTTTAGAAGTGTAAAAACAACCTATGTATTGTGTCAGAAATTCAGAGCTGACCTGATTCCTGTGTTCTTTGCTTGTGGTATCCGTCAGCTTCCTATTTCAGGACTGCAAGTTAAGTAGAGCCTATGCTTTGGAGAAGAATGCAGCAGGCATGATTGAGTAGTTTAGCAAAAGAAAACTACTCAGAGCTGACACCACTCAGTCCACAAAAATACAATGCATCATCAGCCTACAATAAAAAATTAAGAGCTGTGTGCATTTCTGGCCGACCAACAGAAAATGTTCTGTACTTGCAGAGTTTTAAAGGAATAAAATGTGGTTTTGTGCCTTGACATACACTAATATCTTCAGCAGGGGCTGCCTCTTCTAAAATAACATGTTGATTTCACAAACAGTTTCAGAATAGAGTGCCCAGCCTGCCAGGTGAGCGTGTCTAGACAAGCTCTCCCGCCTTGCAAAAACCTAGAAGCCATTCCATAAATCCACATCTCCTCCCTCTATTCTGCTGCCTGGAGATGACTAGCTGGATCTGCGGGCAGGGAGAGGCTCAAAAGCAGAACAATGGAGATAAACTTAGAACAAATATACTTTGGACTTGCACTAATAGCAGCAACGTATAAACTACAAAGAATTGGCACAAATGTGTATACTCAACAATAGAATATTAGGTTTACTGCCAGGAACACAACTCATTTTACTTGAATTCAGTGGGGCACAAAATAGATTTAATCTGCCTAGTGCAGTTACCAAATATCAATTAACATCCTAGTCTACCACAAGAGTTTGTTTTGTGTTACTGGGACCCCAATCACCCACTTTCCAGCATTCCTAGAGCTAGCTATGCGTTTTACAGTCTGAATCTCTGTACAAACTCCTTTAGATTGACCTAATCTATGTAATATGATGCATCAGATTTGGGAGGCCCCTGTATCACATGGCTTTTGATTGAAAGTAGATTACACAACCAGTAAGGTGCATGGCTAGCTTCAGAAAAACTGAAGTCAGAGTTGGTGAAGCTGTTGCCTATAGTAACTAACCAGATTCCTCTTGTCATCAGAATACTCATTATCAGTTATTGTACATGATATAAGAAATATAACATTTCAAGTAAAGTACAATGGGCAGTAACCTAATTATCCAGAATTCACTTCACTGAACCATAGCACAGGATGAATTCTGACCGGTTTCTATCGATACAGTTCATTCATCCTTGCACTAGATTACTTATGTCTATTTTTGCAGTAGTTCTCATTATTTAATGATTAAAGTATGTGTTGCAGCAGTATATGCATTAGATGGTGCAAGTGCATCTACAGAGAAGATGGGATTTTGGGGTGGGGATGGTTAATTTTGGATCAAGCTTCATTGGGCTTAAAAGAGGGCTACAATATTGTCCAGAACTCACAGAAGCAGTAGATGTTTCCAAAAGGCTTTATTGTCTGGAACAGAAACAAATCTCTCGGCTAACAGTACAGGTATGATGGGGACTACACAGCACATTTTTGGAAGCTAAAAGTCACTTGGGCCTGACTACAAAATATAGTTATGCCCATCGGCATATGCCACAACTGTGTTTCAATAATCACAGATGGGTGTGGCTACTGACAATCATCTAGTCATCAATAAATAAATGATTAGTTTAGATTAGGGCTGGATATCTACATAACCACTATAGGCCATGGCCTAAGGTGGTGCAGCTACCAGGGGCGGCACACAGTCACTCACCACCTTGTTGGTACTTGTACAATGAAGTTCCAGGCCACCTCCCTGCCTGCCAGTGCAATCCAATGGGTTCATATTGGTGCTGTCATTGCACACTTTGTGCATTTTTCTTGGGAGAATATTGTATTGTGTAATTATATTTCATCCACTCTAGGACCCTACCTATAGATCTGAACTGCAAACATATTGAGGCGATAGCTTGACCTACTGTTTAAGTAATCAGTCCTAAGTATATTTTGGCATGCCTTGATTGGCTGTGACGTTCATCTTTTTATGATGCAAAGGCCGGCCAGCTGACCGTGGAACGAAGTGTTGGTCAGAGAGGGCAGGAAGTACAAATCTGGCCCCGGGCTTGGTTTACCATGGTAACTTGTGATCAATGGAAGACAATTTTATGGCCACATGGCTCATGCGAGTAAAAGTTACCTGCGCAGCTTTTTGTCCTAAAGCTGGCCCATCTACTGCTGTATTATCTGTCCAAACTTGACAATAAATCAATGCATGAATTGTAGGCCAGGCTGTATCTACTGCTTTCCCTGACTCACCCTAGAGCTTGCCAAAAGTTTGTTTAAAGTTACAGCCAGCACTCGCTAAGATCTGTATTCAACACACCCGAACAAGAGCTGAAGGCGCTATAAGGCCTGGTTCACACCTGTACGTTTTGTAGCGCGTTCAATGCTCTACGAACGCTCTACAAAACGCTCAAACATGAAAATCCCATTGTTTTCTATGGGTATGGTTCACACCTTGCCGTATTTCAGCCCGTCTGAACGCGCTACAAAACGGCCTACGCCTGAAAAGGTACATGAGCTTCTTTGCAGCGTTTTTATTCCGCGTTTCCATTGGGATACAGCCAAGTAGCCCTCGGAAACGCGCATTTGTCGCGCGTTTTTGTACCGCAAATCGCGGTCGAAACGCGCATATTCAATACGCCTAGGTGTGAACAGAGCCTGAGGGCAAATGTGTTCTAAATTTGTTGCTATTTAGATTAGGCTTCAGCAAAGATTTAAACAATACCCATGTGATTAGGACCTCAAGACAGCAGCTCGTTCTTACATTATTGTCTTCCCCCAGCTTAAAATAGTGAAAGATATTTCTAAAGACATCAAAAATATCGGAACAATTTTACATGGATGACTTTTTTTTATTAGAATAACATTTTCCCTGTAAAAAAACAAAACCCACAGCTTTGTTTTACTGCAGTTTGATCACTTTTAAACATACCTATTTGTACACCTTTTTGTTTTGCCATAAGACTGTATTAGAGGAAAATTAAGGGGTGAAACTGTGTGATTAGATGAAGATGAACTCCAGGCAGATATAAAAAGGCATAAATTAATGCAGTGCTGTATTACTGAATATGCAGCAGTGCAAGTACCTGGCAACAGTCTCTCGAAGTTCACTGTATAGCAGCCCACAGACTGGGTGAGAAAGGGGCAGGATGAGGAGCCAATCAGTGCTACAGTGTGCTCATGTGATTACAAAGAACTTGCTGATAGCAGGTGAGCGCAGAGTGACAGAGATGAGTTCGTCAGTCTACCAATTTTCCTTTAACCGTCAAATCAGAGACTGGGGAGGGACAAGACCTGAAAGTGTTAATGAACTTCAAATGATAAATTCCAGGTCTCCTGCCCTGCAAGACAGAGCTGTAAAAAATCTCAAGGCTGGATAGACAAAAATATAAATCTTTTGCCAGGTAATACAGCTCTTGTATATGTATTTCACCTGTGTATTTAGTTGTTTGCTTAGAGTTCAGCTTTACATCCTCACACAATATACCAAACTGGCAAGCTATATGGCTGCAACCATTTCTAGTTCCAGTCTTAACAAGCTTGTAAAACATTTTAGAATTTCTTGTTAATGCATTAACAATCACAGTGTCCTTTGCCTTGTATTGCCGTACACAAACCAGCGGTAAAACCCTGGAAGAGACTAGAGCATTAGGTTAGCCATTTTATTTACAGATTCATGATAGCCTCACTTTTTCCCTCCCTCCCCCATTCACAATCTTACATTTTACGGCAAGCAGGAAAAAAAACCAAATAGACTTTTTTTTAAAGAAAGAATCTTTCCTTTCTGTTTACAGCATAAATATCATATAAATCTTTTTACAATACAGTCGTCATAAGCTTTACTCTATAGTTCTCATTCTACACAATTGTATTTTTTTTTAATGTCATATAAACCACTGGTACAAAATTACACCTTTAAACCCAGAGACCTCGGGAATGTTCTATGGATTTCTCTGTGCTTAAAGGGTTAATAAATTCATTTTGGAATGTTTACAAATACTTAGTAAAGATGTTCTCGTAAAGGGTTATTCGGGTGGCCCCAAAGTCTGAAACTTTGTTTCAGTATTAAGAAACAGAAAAGGGATTTTTGAATCCCAAAGATCAACCATATATTTCTGTTCTCTGCTAGATAGGAGAGTATGGAGAGTAGCACAAAGCCCCCCCCCCTATCCAGCATAGAAGAGTTATTTAATCAATACAAAAAAAAATTCATTGTAAATATATAATATATATATATTTTTACATATTCTGAATATATTTACATTTATATCCAACAGCGATAATGCTGTATATGTGCTCTGGTGAGGAATGGAAGGGATTTGAGTGCTGGAATATATTTTCTCAATATATTACAAAATTAACAAGAAAGGCAAAAATGGAAGTGTTTTAGCCTTGAGTCCACTGAAAACAGTCTTGGTGAGTCAGTGTATCTGGCTTTGCCACAGCCGAAATAGTGGACTGTATCCCCCTACTGCTGACCAGGCAGAATCTTCCCGCTGTCTCTTTGTAAGTGTTTAGTCAGGGGGTAGTCCATGTTGTTCTCCTGTAATGGCATGTTCCCATCATTTGCGTGGCAGGAGAATATGCTATGGAGTCTGCCCTGTGTCGTCTCCCGCCTTATACCGCCTCTTCTACAGAGAGGTCCTTGTTCCTTGGCGTTCTGCAGAATGTGTCACCATTATCAGCAGTCTGTTGAAGTGGCCTGCAGAACGCGAGATGTCTCATGTTTTCACCCCATTTACGTGCTGAAATTTGGGGAGGCAGGGTTCATGTGGCATGGGGTCAGGGGAGAACACAGAATCATCCCCAGACGATGAAGCAGAGCAGGAGGAGTCTGGGAAGCTTGGGGAATACTGCTCCAGAGGGGCGGTGAGGTCAAGGTATTCCTGTGAAGAAAAAACAGAAAAAGGCATTTATTAGAACAACTGATCTTATTTATGGAAGCATCTGACAGCGGAACTGTTCTGGTTACCCATACCAACCGCTCACGTGTTCTGCTACCCATACCCACCCCACTCACATGTTCTGATACCCATACCCACCACTCACATGTCCATGCTTTGAAATCTGTGGGTCAGTTTTCAGTGGCAAAGAAATATAAACAGGGCTCTTAGTGTACAAGGCACCCCAACTGATCCAGCTTACAAATCACTATTCTAGCATAATATTTAATTCTGGCCAGCTACTATATGCCACAGCCATTACCTAGAGAGGCAAAAACATTGAATGCCTCATTCACAAGGCTCAGCATTTCTTCTACGCAGTTCTAATAACTCGCCATTGAAGAAGCTGCAATCAAACCCACTGTAGAACAGGGTGGCAGAGCACATATGAGAAATATTTTACACAGTACAATGAGGGTACACTTAGAGTAACTATAGACTCAAGATCATGTACCCAGCACTGGATATTTGGGTTAGGATTTTTTTTTCACAGAAGCTGTATAACAGTGTAATAATAGGATTTTTGTACTCACCGTAAAATCCTTTTCTCTCCGTTCATTGAAGGACACAGGGAACAGATCGTACATCCTGAATGGTAGGGTAATATCGCCACCTGCAGGAGAAGGACGCTAGGCACAAAACTAAAGACCAATTACAGCCTAGGGGCGGCCCCTGCCGGTGGCCAAACCCCCCACCTGCTGACAAGTCTCCAGTTTAGTAACAAGCAGTTAGGAGTGTACACCCCATAAAGAGGGCGGGGCCTGTCTCCTTCAATGAACGGAGAGAAAAGGATTTTACGGTGAGTACAAAAATCCTATTTTCTCTCCCGTTCATTGAAGGACACAGGCAACAGATCGTAGATCCTGAATGGTAGGGACGTCACCAAGCAGTAACACACTGAGGGATGGGCAACAATAAAACACCCAAAAGACCCCTCAAAAGAAACGCCTGCAACACTTTGCGCCCCAAACCAGCATCTGTCAATGCTAACACGTCCACCTTGTAGAACTTAACAAAGGTGTGAACAGAAGACCAAGTAGCGGCCTTACAAACCTGAGAAACAGAGGCCCCGTTTTGGGAAAGCCCAGGAAGCCCCAACAGCCCAAGTAGAATGGGCAGTGACAGGAAATGGAGGCTCACGCCCTTAACGGCGTATGCCTGAGTCACAACAGTACGTATCCACCTAGAGATGGTAGCTGCCGACGCGGCCCAACCCTTACGAGGACCCTCCGTGAGCACGAACAGGGAGTCGGTCCCGCGGAAAGAAGCCGTAGCTTCCAAATAAACACGAAGAGCGCGAACCACATCCAAACAGTGGAGCGCACGCTCCTTCCTATGAACCGGCTTTGGACACAGGGAAGGTAAGCCAATGTCCTCATTCAGATGGAATGCCGACACAACCTACGGCAGGAACGCCGGCCGAGGACGGAGAACCGCCTTGTCCCGATGCAAAACCAGCAATGGGGACTTGCAGGGCAAGGCAGCCAACTCCGACACCCGCCGAACGGAAGTGATGGCCACCAAAAAGGCCACTTTCTGTGACAAAGATATAAGCCGAATCTCCTGAAGAGGCTCAAACGGGGATTCCTGCAACACTGAAAGTACGAGATTCAAATCCCACGGAGCCAAAGGCGCGCGGACAGGGGGAGCAATGCGCGTCACCCCCTGAACAAAAGGTGCGAACCAGAGTATTAGACGCCAAAGGCCGCCGGAAAAGCACCACCAAGGCAGAGATTGTGCCCTTCACAGTACTCAAGGCCAGCCCCTGAGCCACCCCGCGCTGCAGGAACGCAAGGATTCTGCAGATGGAGAATAAACCCGGGGACAAGGCCCCAGCCCCACACCAGGCAAAATAGGCCCTCCACGTGCGATGGTAAATTTGTCCCGAAACCGCTTGCGCGCTCTGAGCATAGTGGAAAGGACCGCATCGGACAACCCCCGGTCCTTCAGGACCTGGCTCTCAACAGACGCGCCGTCAAAGCCAGCGACTGTAAAGAAGGATGGAACACAGGACCCTGGGACAGAAGATCGGGACGCAGAGGACGACGGTGACGCCCTTGACTGCGATCCGACGCAGCAGCCGAGGCAACAGATATAGTGGAAGAAAGGTGTAAATCAGACCGTAAGGACCCCAAGGGGGCCACCAGGGCATCCACGGCCTCCGCCCAGGGATCCAGGGCCTTGGTCACAAACCTGTCCACCTTGCGCTAGAACCGAGACGCCAAAATATCCACCTCCGGCGTCCCCCAGCGACAACAGAGCTGCTAAAAAACCTCCGGGTGCAGAGACCACTCCCCCAGATCCACCGACTGTCGACTGAGGCAATCGGCCTGCCAATTGTCCACTCCCGGGATGTAGATCGCCGAGAGAGCCAGAACTCGATGTTCCGCCCAGGACAGAATCCCGAACACCTCTCGACCCGGGCCACGCTTCTCGTGCCGCCCTGGTGGTTGATGTACGCCACCGCGGTGGCGTCGTCCGACTGGACCCGGACCGCCAGACCCAGGAGCCGGGCCGACCAATGAAGAAGAGATAGGCGAATCGCCCGAAGTTCCAACACATTTATCGACAGACGGGACCCCTCCGGCGACCAACGACCCTGCACGGTCAAGGAGCCCAGGACCCCGCCCCAGCCCCAAAGGCTGGCGTCCGTGGTGACCACCGTCCAATGCACTGGAAGAAAAGACTTCCCCCGCACCAAGACGGGGGATGGAAGCCACCACCACAGGGAGACCCCTGCCTCCCGAGAGACCCGAATCTCCCTGTCCAAGGACAGGGGGGACTTGTCCCACTGTACCAGGATGTTCCCCTGTAGGGTCCTGGTATGGTGTTGCGCAAAAGGCACCGCCTCGAAGGAGGCCACCATGAGACCCAAGACCTGCATGCAAAACCGAATGGGCGACCACTGGTGAGCCCTCAGTAGCCGGACCTTGGAAACGGAGCTTCAGGAGCTTGTCCCGGGGAAGAAGGACCCGGGCCGCGACAGTGTCCAGAACCAAACCCAGAAACTCCAGGCGTGGTGAAGACACCAGGCAAGACTTTCGCAGGTTCAGAAGCCACCCGAACTCCTCCAAGGACCGCACCGTGACCCCCAGAGCCGTCACCAGGGAAGAATGCGACTCTGCACGCAGGAGCAGATCGTCCAGGTACACCACGATCGAAACCCCCCGACAACGCAACAGCGCCAGAATCGGGGCTAGCACCTTGGTGAACACACGTGGGGCCGACGCCAGCCCGAAGGGCAGCGCCACAAACTGAAAGTGGTCCTCCCCCACCGCGAAACGAAGATACCGCTGATGAGACTTGCAAATGGGTACATGAAGGAATGCATCCCGGATATCGATGGAGGCCAGCAGATCCCCCTGACGGAGCCATGCCACCACGGACCGGATGGACTCCATCCGGAACCGACGGACCCGCACGAAGGCGTTCAAGCGTTTGAGGTCCAGGATGGGCCGCACCCCCTCTTTCTTGGGCACAGTAAACAGGTTTGAATAAAAACCTTTTGAAGCTTTCCAGAGAGAACAGGCACAATCACCCCCTAGTGACCAAAGGTTTGATATTACCCTACCATTCAGGATCTACGATCTGTTGCCTGTGTCCTTCAATGAACGGGAGAGAAATTTTATTTTATACTGAGTGATGTCGACACAGAATATTTACACAAATAAAAAGGTTATTATTATAACAGATTCTTTAACTAGTCTCTAACAAGGATCAATAAACTAAGATCTCTCTGCTGACCTCATTGGTGGTTAGAGTGAGGATCCGGTCCAAGTCCTCCACCAGCTGTTTGAAGGTAGGCCTGTGTGAGGAAATGGCATGCCAACAGTCTCTCATCATCATGTACCTGGAGAAAAGAAGACAAACCATAGTGAGGTCTGGCAGGCAGGCAGGCAGTAAGCACTCTGTGAGGACATAATATACAACGCAGAAACCAATAAATCATCAGATGTGCCAACATTGGTATAGCATTAGGAGGCACTAAATCAATGAGCCCTAAAACGCTTAGTAAAATCTTATATCAATGAAACAGAGATAACAGATGTAACTGCCGCTTCCAGATTTGATTCCAGCAGTCATAAATCAGAAAGATTTAACATCAGACAGGTGGCTAACACAAAACATGAGAAGGAAGATTCAGCATTGCAGCGATATTCTGCACACATAGGAAAAGGTTTAAATGACTGCTTGTATGATATGTCTCCGAAATATGAGTCTAATGTATTTTTCCAGAAAGTGTGTGCATACTATAATGGCAATAAAAGGCATGTATAGTGATGTGACTCAAGATTAACTAAAAAAGAAGAAAAAAATATACCCCCCCCATGGAGAATGCCAACCAGAAAGCGGGGGTGGCAGGGTTAGTTTGACATTTTTATGGTTTGTTTTTTTTTAACTTTTAATTTATTTTTTTACTTATTTTTTAATTTATGTAATTATTTTATCAATTTTTTTTCAACTTAACGTTATTGCTATCACACAGGAACTAACAAGCCCCTGTGTGATAGCATTTGGAGGCGACAGGTTCTCTTTATTGACCCTGTCACCTCCAATACAGGAGTTCTAGCACAGTACTGTGCTGGAACTCCTGTGCAAGGTGAGAGGGGAAGACTGCTCTCCCCTCTCACTGTATACACAGAGCGGCAGGGTTACTTTCAACCCCGTCACTCTGCTCACCGCTCTCCATTCTGAAGATGCCAGTGGCCGGCGAGGAGAGGACGGAGTTGGGAGACGGAGCCAGCATAGAGGAAGAGAGGTAGGTGCAGGGGAGGGAGGGGGGAGGCGGGATAGGAGGGACAGCCTGCAGTTCGATTACAAGTGATCTTGGCGACATCGACAAGATCACTTGTAAAGAAACAAGTGGTTTCCCCATTCTACATTTAGCCCTGCTTGTGCAAAGCAGGGCTAAATGTAGAAAACTCCATGTTCCGGGCGTCGGGAGACTTCAAACCTGTGTCGCCCCTCTGTGCCGCCCCGAGGCCGGGTTTCGGTGGCCTTGGTCGGCAATCCGGCCCTGGCTGGACTGCTTACAACAGAAGAGCATTTCTTAAAGCTGGACTCCAGGCAAAAAGGAAATACACAAGAGGAAATGCATACAAGGGCACTTGGTTTTCCTGCTAAGACTGTAGATCTCTCTATCCATTCCCGAGATATACACAGCTGTGTTCTGCTGTATAGTACAGCCAGGTAAATGTACAGTGTGCTGTATAGTACAGCCACTTACAATTATGGAATACAGTGGTATTGTCTCTTCACGACCAGCCGGCTGACTGGACAATGAACGAGCAGGGGCAGACGGATAACAACGGATATCCCTCTGCGCTCTCACCTCCTATCTGCCCGCAGTTCAATGTTAAAAGGAAAAATAAAAACTTTTGTTAAACATATTTTATATAACCTTGTGTAACTGCCACGCAAGTTTTTTTTGTAATTCAATACTATTGAGAGTTAACTTTTCAGTCTGGAGTCGGCTATGATTTTCTAAAGCTGACAAAAAAATTACATTTCTCTGTCTTACAGAAACACTCTATGTAGAGCACGCCCCAGGAATCTCGTTCCATTTTAATATATTGGCTCACTACTTTTTTCATAAAACCTGCACAGAGCTTGAGGTAGAGTTCTGGGTTCCCCGACACCCTGAGATGCAGGGTTTTAGGTTTACAACTCTTGGACTGATAAAAGGATTAAGCCAGGTAGACCCCCCACTTAGTATTCAGTCTGAGGACACTAGTGCAGTGATCTGTTATCTACATAACAAAAACAGGTACAAATTTTCAATGACTCTTGCTTATTTTTTAACTTTAATTAATAAATAGGGAGGCAGTGTGACAATGCAAACCCTAGAGCATGCCCCTTCAAAAACAATAAAACAAAGGCAGCTCTTAAACATGTCTATCCTTTAACAAATTCTTAAAGCCTGAGGTTTAAAAATATTTTTAGCCATTTGAAGGGAATGACACACAACATTTTTGTCTGTCTTTCCTTTTAAGAACAAAACATTTTCCATTGGCTAACACAGCACAATGCAATTCTTTCACTTTAACAAAGACGTATGAAAAATAAATAAATCTAATTACTAAATGTTCCAGAGGAGAACAGCAATTACATAATCTACCTTCTGTTTTAATTTTCTGTAAATCCCTTTAAGGTAAAGAGAAAATATAAGGAAGTAAAATACAAACCAGTAAATCATGTAGTTATTTAAATGCTGAAAAGATTAATGAACCTATTAATCAGTGTACTACTAACACAGAAGCAGGACACTAATAATCATCACCATAGAGCAAAACCGACACAGCAAGTCCAGTAACGAGTAAGAGTTTTAGTAGAGTAAGGCCACGGTTACCAATTAAGCGAATAAAGTCGCTGAAACATGGGCAATCAAGCACTACGCTCTAGGGCAACCATTAATCGGTAATTAGTAATTAATGGTTTACATGGTCTTAATTTTAAATGGCTCAATGGGAGGAAGTTACAGGTATGCAAATTAGCAGCATGGGAAGCAGACTTCAGCAGTGATGGATGGTACCCCATGTTTCACATTAAACACTACAAATCATCAAAGATTAGTAGACAAGTAGGACTGAAGCAGCAACAGGGTGAATCAAAAGCAGGAACTTGTTGATAAATGACTCTATATGCATGAAAAAGAGAGAAAACAAGAGACTACGCCTCTTGGAAAGGAGAACACACTAATTCTTACAGTTCATTGGTGCAGTTGGCTGGCTTATCCATCCGGTGACCCTCTTTCAGCAGCTTGAAAAGTTCCTCAACAGGAATGCCAGGGTATGGTGACCCTCCCAGCGTAAAAATCTCCCACATTAATACGCCAAATGACCAGCTACCGGAAGAAAGAGAAAAAAACTAATTAAGAGTTTAGAAGAACACTTGGTTATGTTTATATGAATACTACGAGGCATATTTAACAATATGTGCAAAGTACAGTGATTTATAGCCAACCAGTTATCATTTAACGGAAATCCCAGCATATGACATAAGATGGCTTGCATTCTTCAACTTTATTATTATTAGGCAATACATCAACCTTTTCTTTTTTAGGTAACTCGGGGCAACAGTATAACACTGTACCAAAGAAAAGTAGATCTGTTGACCACCGCAACTAAAATGCAGCTGTTAGCTTTCGTGATCTATCCTGTACTGAGAAATTAAAAGTGCTCTTCCATTGTTCCTGCAATGTACCTCCTGGAAAGTCAGCTTCTCTGTAGGCTAAAGAAAATTCAGTGCCCCTTTTATAATTTACTGACTCTTACAGGGAGTGAGACTGTGTAAAAATGTCTTTCATTGGGCGCTGACTTCAAACACCTGCATACACTAACAGGCATATTTCCTGGATGTGTCATTCAATCCAAACAAAGTAGTACCAGCTCAGCAGTATCATCCCTACTACTGTGTTCCCTAGAGACTCTCATGCATTCTACTGACTTCAATGCAGGCATGGACTGATAATTTGAAATGTATAAGAAACAAAAAAGTATTTCAGAATACATATCTAACACAAGTAGCAGGAACTTGTCAAAGGTATTTAATTTTGTGTCGATAAAACATTAAAATGGCTCCAGTACTACTTCAAATGAAAGTGCTGACAGCACCTAAATAGTATACCTCTGCTAAGCTTCCCATATTTGTGGTTGTAAAAAAAATGTGAAGCACTTTACTTTGCATGTTGAGTGTTTTTTAGCCCCAGTCCAGCAATGCTTGGATGCACTGCCAATACACAAAATAAAATATGATAAATATGACTTACACATCGCTCTGATGAGTGTACACCCGGTCAAATAGTGCTTCTGGAGCCATCCATTTTACAGGCAGCCGACCCTGGAACAAGCACATTCATTAAAGATTTAGCTATAACAGTAGTGACTAACCAATACATAATGCTCAGAGATACTGTAATTATTTAGAGGAATACACTCTGTTTTTGCGTTCCAAAGGTGATGTACTTCTGCATAACATTCACAAGCAGTGCAAAACAAAACTACCCAGTATATAGGGTGAAATGTCCATGTTATGTCCCAGGACTAGTATGTAGCACCCAGTTACAACTCCCTGGCTGTCAAAAGGCAGGAAAACATCATAGATTCTGTTAAGCTACAAATGTATATGTTAGCCGTCTCCTTCTGCACTAATCATAGTTGATGGGGATCCATCAAGACTCATAAGTGCTTACCTGAGGGGGAGAAGCTGGCTTACAGCCATTTAAGAACTACTAAACCTGGGCCTCGGGGGAGATAGGAGGAACTTAGTTCAAGTTTCTGAAACGATTCTACTAGCAGTGAGAGGTAGAAAAGTAAAAGGTTGCGATATTTTATGTTAGTTTGGCTGAAATGGGAAGTATACAGTAAGTGTGAGTTTTATACTGCAAATGCTTATTCAGCTAGTGATCCAAATCATTTTCAGGCATGTTTCAACCAAACTGGTGCAACCACGTCGACTATTAATGGCATGTTCATGAAAACATGTATAAAAATACCTGTAGCATTCTAAGTCCTAGCTAATATACAAATAAAATGATAGCTCTTCAAAACCTTGGGCTCACAGCTGTCCTTGGAAACCTGCTATAAGTGTTCTGCTGTGGATCATCTTGGCTAACTGCTCCCTAGATTCCAAGCCAGGGGATTTTTGTTATGTTTTGTTAGAATGAGTATGATTGTGATGAGCACCTATTTACAAATGTATTTTTCTATTTGCCACCACAACCCTTTAAACCCATGAATACAGCCTACCAGTGAAAAAGGTTTGACAATAGTGTATTAAAAAAAAGAAGAAAAAAAAAAAGGAGGACCACCATCCACTGATCCAAAAAAATGTTAAAGGGCAACTGAATCCTAACAGCTTCCAAAGCTAAGCTGTTGGTCACTGTAAACAAGTTGCTTCATCTGAGTGAATTATCAGCTTTGCAATTTTCTCACTGGGTGTCCTCTGCTTTCTATCAACACATATCTAATTGAGAAACAAGGGTGTGTCTGCCAGAGGTGTACAGAGAATTTCATAGTGAAAAGGCTCCAGTTCTAATTGAAGCGACAACAGCCCTTAAGTTTTACAAGGATGTTCTTGGCACATTCTATATTTAAAATAAAAGTACACACGTGTGACCAATTAAAGCCCAATAGAACGTTCAGTTTAAAGCAGCTAAACATATTCCAGGTGCATCAAAACAAAAAGGTGTGCAAAGTCTTCTAGTTTGTTTCTTTAAAAAGTCAAAAATTCTGCCCCTGCCAAAAAAAGGACCCTTGCACCCCTGTTTGGAAGCAGTGATCTCTCTGCAGGGGTCTGACACACCCATTGCTGAGTTAGATCCAGAGTTCTCCAATCAACAGGAAGCTTGAACCCACAGGGGAGATTTACCCTGTTGTCCCAATGGCTGCTGCCATTGGAACAGAAAGTGAAGGGAAATCTTTTTCTGGAAACATTTATCAAAGTTGAGATTTCCCCTCAATGTTAGGGAGATTTTCATTACTTGCTGTGCAGTAAAAATTCTGCAATAAAAAAAAACCTTTCACACCTATTCCTTTCAAATTAACTGACAGTCCAGGACTAAACAGATTGGACTTTTAGATTGTAAGCCCTCAGGGACAGGGCCCTCCTTACCATCTTGTCTTGAATTGTATTGTGATTGTAATGTCTTCCTTATATTGTAAAGGGCTGCACACACTGTTGGCGCTATATAAATCCTGTATAATAATGTATAAGTAATACACTGTAAAAAAGTTTATATTCAATATAAAACAGAGGAAGTTACTATTGCATCATGGGAGCTTTTATTGGCCTTCTTTAGACCTGTTCAGTAAGAACATACTGAGGAGGAGGGAGTTCATTTACTGACATTTTTCCACATGAACCTCACTGCTAGAGTAATAGAAACCCTATAAGGAGTAAGTGTTTTTATTCCCCACAGAGAGGTTTCATTTGTTTGTTTGTTTGTTTTTAAAAGGAACCAATGACATATTATATGACCTATTTATCTGCAAAATATGATTAGAGGGATGCTAAAATATGAAAACCCAAAAGCACATAAAGATTCAGGAAAGCCATTTATGGATTCTTATTCTTACTTACATTTGTTGTTTTCTTATAATAATCAATATTGTTGACATCTCGTGCCAGACCAAAGTCTGCAATCTTCATAACATTGCTCTCAGTGACCAGCACGTTCCTGGCTGCAAGGTCCCGGTGTATACACTACAACATATAACCACAACTGTATTGGTGCTAATAGAGAACTATGGGAAAATGCAAAAGCATATTGTAGAACTGAAATCATTTTTTTTTTTACAGTTTTGGATAGAGTAAGGGAGGGTTACAATCCCTGTCAGATGTGTACAATTGAGGATATTTCCCTTCACTTCCTGTCCGATAGCCACAGCAGGAAGTGAGAGGAAATCCCTCCAAAGTGAATATCCTTGGTGTTCAGCAGTGTCCCTATTTTCCATCTATTCCTGTTCTGGCAACGACTCAAAATTTTGAATTGTCTTTCACATTCGGAGAGAGCGGTCACCAGGATAGAGAAGGTGTATAGCCCTAATGAGGAAACACACAGCAAGAAAAACCTGACAGGTGTTCTAATCCCTCCCCACTCTATCCAAAATAATAGTTTAAAAAAAAGCTTTGGCTTCAGTTGCATTTTAAAGTCCACATGAAGCCTAACACTTTTTTAAAAAATCTTTGCATATTCCTGTATCCCCACATGTAAGGATTTGTGCAATATCTTTGATTGGAAATTATCAAAATACCTTTTACTCTCAGTACAAATGTTGCTTCCTGGTGTCTGACTGCAGTGATCTGCATTGGCAGAGCCGAGTAGCAACAGCCATACCCCTCAGCACAAGGATCCTCACACAGACTTATACAGCAGAGATGGGGAGGAGGTGTGTCTGACTAGGTCTGTTATATTGCAGGTTGTACTGTGTCCAACTCTAATGCCTAATAAACTGCACGGACTCCCTGCACAACTGCTATAAATGGATCATGAAGGTAAGATTATGAAAATGGAGGCTATGCATATCTATAAAATAGATCTATGAAAATGCAAATCTATTTATGTAACTTCAACTGGGATTTCACTTCAGCTTACTGAGCGGTTTAATGCTGTAACAAAAGAACAATGAAATGAAAACTTTTTAAAATAATAATAAATGTCTATGTTGATGCATTGCTAGTTATACATCTGTTAATATTAAATGGAGCACAAAGCCAGAATTTTGTGTTCTTCAAAAATGTGTCATTTAAAAATGAAAGGGATTGTTCTTAAATGTTTACACACTTTTAGGGGAAATAGCCAAGATACACATTTTGCAGAGTCTGCAAAATAAGACGAGTGCCTAGGGGCACTCAGCAAATACTTGCTTCTTTATAGGGGTACACTAATTTAACCAAGTAAGGAAATGCTGTAATTGAGGTATTGCACTCAGTGCTGTTGGTAGTAATCAGAACACAGGAGTCCTTTATGCAGCTCTACAGGTCCTTCATATTAGGAAGTAAAATGAAAACATTTATCCATTTAGCAAGGCATACTTTAGGGCCCTGCATAATATTAGGGGAACAAAACAGGTCATAAATACGACTTACAAAGCTGATCATTTTACTCCCGTCTTGCCATATTTAATTGGCCAGAAAGACGGCATTATGCATATTACACAGGTATACAATTTGCTGAACAAATAGCTTCAAATGCTTATTATTAAAGTAATAACCATACTCTGCTAAAAGTCTTTTATTACAAGGGAAAGCAGCGTGAAGCAAAGAACGCCCATTACAATCCACCATTTTTGCTTTACCTTCTGTGATGCCAAGTACTCCATGCCCCTGGCCAGCTGGTAAGTGCAGGATACCAAGTCTTTAAAAGTCATCTGTTCTCCAGGCACCCTGTTAATGTCATAGGAGTACTCCATCTCAACTGGGCGCCGGGCCCTGAGGTACTCACGTAGGTTCCCTTTAGCAGCATACTCTACAATTACATATAAGGTACCTACAAACAAATACAGTGGTTAGAAGGTAATTCACACCACATCTTGGACAGTCTCAGCTTTATATGTGAATAGACTTATCATAAAGCAGAGCACAAGGCAGAGCTTGATACATTGTTGAAATGCACACATGTATACTGTTTAAGCTGCCTAAAGCTTTGCAACTCTGTACAGCTTGTCTTGTTTAACACATTCCTGATAGGAGGGTGACACCGCTCAACAGCTTTCAGTGTCTCTACCTCTTGGCCTTCACAGTGGACAATGAATCACCATCATCATCTCTGGCCAATGAGTAGGTAGGTGACTTGAAGAACAGTAAGACGGAACCAGAAATAGCTGTGGGATCTCACTGGCAGTTTATTGTGGAAATTGTGTGTAAATCACAATGCTGGGTGAACAGAATTAGAAAACTTTTTACACGTTGAACAGTAAATATATTTTTTCCATTCACACCTCAGCATTTTTGCTACACATTTACCGAAGCACAACAAAGTGCAACATGAACATAGCCATTATTTTCAATAGTGCCTGTTCACCCCTGAGCATTGTGTCGCTTGATAAAAAACACAAGCTTTTTTTGGGCAAAATCCAGTGTTTTTGGACCCTTCGACTTCAATAGGAGAGCCTTGAAAATGCCTGAAAAACACGCGTAGCACACATTTATTTGCGCATTTCTCACCTAACAAACTCCTGCTGCTATTAACTAGTATTCCATTGGCTAAAATAAAGAGCCCAACTCTGAAAACACCTGGAAAATGCACAAAACATTATTCAAAATCAACTGAAAATGTTCACGACGCTCAAGAGTGAATGTGGGCTGTGTATGAAGCCAAGTTTACCTAGATTCCACTTTAAATGTACACAATGTTATTAAAGTGTATATATATATTTTACCAACCTTTTTTGGCCCTGTATCCTGCTTTGCAATGTGCTACACAATTACTCCTCTCCTTGATCTCCGCCATACAGTCCTTACTGCCTTTGGACTTAATTTACTAACATGTAAAGCAAGGTGAAGAACCGTAACCTATTGTAAATATTCAATCAATTGCAGGGAAATTTTTAAAAAATAGAGCTTCTGTTGCCCCAGATTGGATATCTGAACACATATATAAAATTAAAAAAATTATATCATAGCAAACAATATGTACAGCATCACTGGGGAAAGAAAGTAACATTATAGTGGTCATGGCATATAGTGGTCATGGCATTATGTAGAAATAACAGGGAGCAAAGTACCAGGAGAAAGTCTGTACAAATGGTCTCTCGTCTGAATTTTCTCTACTGGAAAAAGCCAAGACACTTCTGAGCTTAGCGAACCTTTAACCGTAATTTAGGTTGGCCATAAGCTACTAAAAAGATTAAGGAGGTTGCTAAAAAGCCTTTATTACCATGCTTAAACCACAGACAGTGGCTACACTCAATAATTAAAACGGCGTAGACAGTCGCTAAACTCACTAATTAAAAAAAGACACAGACGGTCAGTAAGTCCACCAATTGATTTGGCATGTTAATAACAGGACAGAGGTAAAGTCTAAAGGTCACAGAAGTTAGTCTAAACTTTGGATGCTAGAGAGGAGAAAAGTGTACTTGTATAGGCTGCAGGGTGGGAATGCCTGTCATTACAGTGCCGCCTGACACTCTCCCTCCTAATGAGCTGTATTGGTCCTTTCATTATCAAGGACATAATTAAAGACTTGCTGAGTAGCACCTTGTTGTGGCACTCACCTCCTTGTGTGCATGCACCCAGCAGATTGATAATATTCTTATGTTTTCCAATCATCTTCATCATCTCCATCTCCGAGACCAGATCAGCTAGGTCTTTCTCAGTAGCATCATCTATGTGAAGATCCTCAAAGTGTTATTCACATATAAAACCAGCTTAAAATCTTATGACTACAGCTAATTCAGCCTTTCACTGGTATAAAGGATAATATGGCTGCACCTAGCACCATGGTGCTGAAGAAAATCGCTGACTAAAATGATTGATTTTGTTTTGGGTAGAGATTAAAAAAGGAGACAGAGTATGTTATTTTAAATGAAGGCGAACAGGAAAAATCAGTAAAAGAAGACATAAAATACTTACCTGGTCCCATCTAACATATCTTTGATCTTCACTCTCAAAGAGCTACGCTGGCTGTAGAACCTTCAGCATCCATCACTTCCAGGAGTAGAGAACGCCTGGTCCACTGCTGTGTTTGTGGTTTTACCTAATGGCTAATATGTTATTACTTTTTCCTGTAGTAATGTAGCTACAGGCAGGTGGAACCACAGCACGCAGAAGTGGACTAGGTATCAAACACTTGGATGCTGAATATTCTTCACCCAGCATAGCTCTTTAAAATGAGCAAGGAGTTGCAGTGTAGGCAATGGGACAGGTACAGTAAGTATTATTCCTTTTCTTGTACAAAGGTTTTTTGCAACCGAGTCAATTTACTAAACAAATGCATTTAATCCACTTATGTATTTACTGCCGGTCTCTAAATGTATTTGTTCATACACATCCATATTTGTACCTGAATCTGTCTGTAAATTCACAGTAGAGCAGGCTTCAGACTGGGAGAAGGATGGACAGGACTAGGAGTGTAGTGTGCATGCACTGTAAACACACATGCTGATTGGAAGAGAGGACAGAGTGAGCAGAGGGATGGCCCCATCAATACTCTGCTGGTCCTCCACACTCCAATCAGCAAGTGACTGAGAAAGCACAAGTCATGTCATACAAATGATCCACATAACAATATTGCCATCTATTCTTTGATATTTAAGTAGATCTATAGCCCAAACCTTTTCTTTTAAAGTGGCACTGAACTCAGGAGTTATATCTTAAAAATGCATTCAAGGACCTTAACTATTATCATAAATATATCTTATTTGTCTATCACTCAGATCCTCAAATCATCTCTGAATTGGTGATGATATTGTCCTTCCTTCTGGAGGGTGGCTACTTTTGCTCCCCATGGTTCCTATATGTGTTTTAAAGTAGTCACCACTCCAAGCTCACTCCTGTGATGGACTACAATCTAACGTTTAGTTTACTCATTTGCATTGAGATTGCAGTCCATCACAGGAATGAGCTTGGAGCAGTAGCTACTCTGCAACACACAGGGACCATGGGGAACAAAAGTAGCCATCCTCCAGAAGGACGGACAGTATCGGCATGAATTCAGAGATGATTTGAGGATCAAAGCTGAGTGATACACAAATAAGCCACATTTATGTTAACAGTTAGGGTACTTGAATGCATTTTTAAGATTTACCACCAGAGTTTAGTGTCACTTGAGTTTTTGATAGGGTAGGGAAGGATTACAATGGAAGGGAGCCATCCAAACTCCCTCCCTTCTGTACACTCACTAGCTTACAGGAGAGGAACTCCTACTGAAAGCATAATTTCATCTTTCTTCTGGAGTATAGCAATTTATTAAAAATACATAACCTCAGATAATTATCCCCATCAAGCTGAAAAAATTATTTTGTGACCTTTCAAAGAATATATATGTGAACTAAAGGATGTTTTATATACTTACCTAGAATGGTTCTTCAACAACATAGCTATAAAAGTGATTGATTGTATATAAACTCTGCACAGATTTCAGCATATACAACTTATATGCAGAATAGTGGATCTACCTTGCTGGATGAGAATGCATGTCACTGAATAGTAGTAATTTAAGGCTTCATGGAGAGGAACATTAGAGCAAGAAAGTACTTGCAGACAGCATTTAATGGAAAAAGGCAGTAACAGAGCCCTGAGCGATCACACACACAAGGGATGGTGGCGAAAGGATTGCATAATTTAAAGGACACAAATCAGTAAATTACACTTCTTCCCATACGTGCTGTCTTTCTTTAAATCACAGAGAGGGGCAGCAAAACTGTCAGAGCTTCTGATTTATCCTCAGGTCAGGAATGTGACCCTATGTCCCCCACAGAGAAGGGAGAAGACAGCCACACCCCTCCCCCCTTACCTTTCAGCATTTTTAAAGCAACAGTCACTGACTCCTTAGGCCGGTCTTTGTCGATCCCTACAGCCTCTGCCATGACCACTTGTCCAAAACAGCCCTCACCAAGGGGTTTTCCCAGCGTCAGCCTGTGGATATATGCACATATTATTAACATGCAAAAAACAGCAGGCTCTGCCTTCACCATGCTAATAAAAATACAGAAACCTGAAAATATGTACAATAGCACAAAAAAGGAAGGTTAAGGGGGACTGCCAGTATCTGCTGTGCCGACAGCCACCAAACACTGATGGCAACTTTTACACAACACTCATAAATGTGTGTCCTTTTGACTTTTGTATTCTGCATTCTTGTTCTAGGTCAGTGACTCAAAAAGCATTGAAACAATTGGGTCAGCATAACAGCTATTCAGAATGATGTCAGTAGAAGCCTATACATTTCTCATAGCAAAGGTTTACTTTAATTGTATATGTAGTATTTCATAATATGCCTTTCTTTATATAGGAAGACTAGGGATGCACCGCAATTTCACCCGCCCGAAGCCCCCAGCAGTAAAGTAAAAAAAATAAAAATAATAAAAATAAAGTATAAATTTTTTTTAAAGTTTATTAAAAAAATAAAATATTTTTTACAAAATTTGAAAAGGGTAGAAAAAAAATGTTTTTGGTTTCGGCCTGGCTTTTTTTTTTTCAGTTTTAAAAATTTAATTTTGGTGCACCTCTCATTGAGTACTTCCTGCATACTATGCCTTTCTATATATTCTGTATATGAAGGTCATACAAGTAGCTTCTGCCCAGAATGCCATTAATAATATCTGAAAGACACATTAGCCCTGTAGCCAGCTAAAAGAATATACCTGAACTTGGATGGTTTAGTTACTGGCCTCAAACTGAAATTAGTAAAACAATCACTCAAAATTAATAAGCACAACATCTATTAATACATCTGTCTAAATGTCTATTGGGCCAAAAATATGTTTCTGCTATACCTGGTATTGCTGAGCACCCATCTCCAATATCTGCTTTTAGCGCTCATCATACCTGCAGTGTGATCTTCAAAGGCCTTTGTTACATGGTCTGCAGCTCAGGTGAAGATTACACTGCAGGTAAAATTAGAGGTATAAAGCATATATAAAAGAAAAAATAGCCAGCAACCCAAAAGGTTGAATATTACTGGCCAAATACCAAGATTTGTCAAGGCTTGGTTATTTAGCTAATGAATACATCAGATTCCTCCAGCTTTGGCAGAACAATCACATATAGGAAGACAGTGGTAAAATGACATACTTTTCTCTTGAGAATTCCCACTTGGGATCATGAGGAAGTTCATACTCCGATACATTGGGTAGCAGGACTGTATCAGCACTGGATAACAAGCGAGTAGTAATCCGCACCAAGGGTGTTGTGGAGTTCATAGAGGAACTGGAATCTGCCGACACCTGCAAGAGGAAAGAGTGATGTGATAGGTGCCCAATGGAAACAGCATTAGGAAAAGCCCCCCAGTCAGCCCACCATGTGCCAACTAGATCGATGACCATAAAGTCATAAAAAGTTAGTAGAAAATATATATTTTTTTAGAACAGTCTCTTCTCAGTCATCAGACTGACTCCTATGCTGCACCCAAATCCTAACTATAGCTTCATTTTGATGGTACTGTGACCCATATCAGTCAATCAGAGCTCAGCTTTCATTGGTATAACTACAGTAAAATGTTAAATGCGAATTTCTGATTGTCTTTATGCATTACACATTCATGTTACTAAAGTAGTTTGTTAAAAGAGATTTATGCCATAGTTATATAGCATTTAATTGTGTTGAGTCCTATTGCCATTCTTTTGCATTTATCTTTGCCTAAAATTATGACATAAAAACTTTCAGCTACAGGAGTACACTATCCCACTGTATAAACTGGGTGAGTGTAATGAGGTATCTCAAGACAGAATCATATTACCTGTTACTGCTGCCCTTTAAAAAGAAAAACAGCATTACAATGAAAAGTTAAATCTGATACATGAGGCCAAAACAGAAGCATGCAGGTATACACGTGAAGCATGACTCAAGTCGCAGACTAGACAACATTGTAGTAGAAGTGAAACCTTATGCCATTATGCCTGGGCAACCGATAAGTGCATTTTACTGTAGAATATAAAACATTTCTCCATTGTTGAATGTTAACATTATGAAGTGCAATGAATTAGCAAAAGGGAGTCTCAAAACTTACAAATTCAAATCTTCCATACTACTTAATGAATATTCCAGAAGCACTTTGTTGTCTGGACAAATAGATGTTGGCAAAAACTGTAAAAGCTTCAAGTTCTGTCAACAGTCCATTCCAAACAGATCTGACTCCCGTGCGAGGCTCAAGCTTCAGGCCTAACCAAAGGAGCAATAACGAGATTTTCTGACCATTGGAAGCACTCAATGATGACTGGATGCACTCAATCGCTGCCCAAGACTTTCCAACCTATTCACCTGGCCTTCTTAAGAGGGATGCGAGAAGCTAAATCTACGTGCACTGCCTCTGGAGTGTAGAGGGTGGCCAAATGCCTTCCCACACATTGTTCTTGGGGAGACATCTGGCCGTGTATGACCAGCTTAAGATCTATGACTTTAATATTGGTAAAATTATATAGATTTTTATGCATTTTGGGACAGTCCATGTTGCTTTTTGGCAACGAGATTAAAACTTGCATCTTCCCAATCATCAACATTCATGACTGGACCCGATTGATTTCCAAAAAGCAAAATCAACTGTTCATGTGGACATTTTTAATAAAGAATATGAACAGCTCTGTTGTTGTAATGACAGACTTGGGATATTCCACCTCCATCAGCTAATCATCAGACAGAATGACAATTTTCTTTTTTAATTTTTCTACAAAAACACAGGATAAAGCCTGACCACTAGGTACATACACATCTATTAAACTCTACATGGATACTACATCTATAATGGCATGATGTAAGCAAAAAGCATAATTGTAATTCAGGTTTGACATACTACTTACAGAAATGTAGATATACCATATTCAGGTGCACTCAAACTGCTATTGTAGTGCATGACAAAAAAAAAAGTCTAGGGCTACTTGTCTTTTAATAGGAACCTCATAAATCAAGAGGGACTTTCTAGCAAATCCTTATGTTAATATAAATTGAATTCACAGTACATTTCACTGGGCCATAGCACTAATCCAGTTGCACTGGATATTTTTATACTTTATCACTTTCCTCTAATATCTATGAGCACATGGTAGCTGACAGACAACGAGAAGTAGGTTTTTTGAACTCTTTATCTACTTTCTGTTACCTGGCGGTGGAGAGGTATTCGTTTGCTGAGTTTATGGACAACAGGTGGCCTGATTAATGATTTCTTCTTTTTAGCTCCCTGACGAAGCTGGAATATGATGCAAACTCCGATGAAACAGAAGATGAGGAAGCCACCGCCAACATATATAGCGATTTCCATGTAGTAAGGCAGAGAAGTATCCTCCATAGGAGTTTCTATACCTGAAAACGATGTGGGGGGAGAAATGTGAGCTGTGGCTAATAGAAAAATAGAGGGGTTAGAGGATGGATGAAGAATCCTATACCAAAGTACACAAACTCCAGATGCATACACATCTATACATAGAAACACACACATACACGCACACGATAGGCAGGCCTTAGAATGACTCTAGTCTACCACTAAACATACAGCATATAGTGCTTGATTAATTAATCTGTTCATTTTATGTGGCTATTCTAGTATTTCCATCAGAGGTTGCAAGATTATTTGACTTGGCATTCTTATATTACTTATGTTTTACAACTATGGCACTGGATTTTAAAGAAAGCATCAATTTCTACCTCTTCCACCATCATAATTCCCTATTTAAAAAAAATGGTATGTATGTTCATATATAAAAATCTGTAGAGAAAGGATATCCTTTAAAATGTGAAGTACATGTGTCCCCAATGGAAAAATTTCCTTGTTCTGGTGGCAATTCAAAATTGTGGATTTACCCTCCAATTTAATTCCCCAGTACATTGGTGATCATGGCAATTAGAGCGAATCTCTCTAATGAGGACACAGGCAGGATTAAAATCCTAATAGGGGTTGTAACCCCTCAACACTCTATCCAAATCTAGTAAAATGTTTTGTTGTTAGTTCGGCTTTAGGGTTACAAGCCACAATACATGTTTAATACTTAATTCACTAGTAGTCTAGCTACATTTAAAAAACACGTCTAAGCTCAATAAATAGCTTGGTTCTGAATTTAAAACCATAACAAGCTTGAACTGATTTAATACACAACATTATTAGTTGTTAATTTGGATCAAAAAGCTGTGTATTTACTAAAGGCAAAGCAAGTTGTCACAAGCACTTGCCTAAATTAAGTTGGTGCAGATACATCAACCTTTGTGTAAAAACAGGCAACTTATTGGCGTGTTAAAAGAAATCAAAGGTTGGTACAACTTGGAAACCCACCTAAAGGTGGGTTTGCATGAGGAGTATACAGACCTTCCGAAATGAGAGTACTGCCTAGCTACCAGACGGCAGCCTTGACCTTCTCCCTTGTTGTAGGTACTTCTATCTAACAGAGTTTTTCTACGTTTCCCTGCACTTAAGGACTAGCTCTGCACACACAGCTTGAACACCTGACCTCCGCATCCTGGAACCAAGACGTTGAATGATGGCTGTATGTGAACATAGTGCAATCATGCATTGCTAGTACTGGCAGGTGATGATGCCCAACAGTGTGCAGCACACGGTGGTGACTCACAGCCACACTGACCTGATTTGACATCAGCCTACAGTTTACGTATGGGCAGAAGCTGGCAACAAAATAGCTAAATGCCTTGATTGGCATGTATGAGGAAGGGGAGAAACATGATCATCCAGCTGAACTGAAAATAAAATGTTTTACAACAAGTATTTGCCCTAAATTTATAAAGTTAAAATGTATATCTCATGTGTAATGTACAGTTAGGACTGGAAGTACTATTACATTTATATTTAAACTGACAGTATAATATATACAACCATATAATGTTTAAAATATATTAACATAATCAAGGGGCTAGTCCATCCAAAACTATTATTTTTAGTTTTAGTGGATATTAGAGTGTTAAACCAACCACTCACTTATTTCTGAGCAGGTCCCACTTTCTCTGATGGTTTTAAATATAGCTTTCATTATGTAAAATGCAACATTGGGAACATTCAATGGTGAGCTTAATCAACAAAAACTCAAAGATGGAGAGTGAATCCCTGAGGGGAAAAAAGCCACCAGACATCCTCTGTCAAAAATATCATTTTTGGATAGGTTGTTTAAAATATAAAAACACACACACATCACTCAATACCCAAGTGTGCCATAAACCACATATGCATACAGCAAACATGTTTCTAAAACAGCTGAACAGTGAGCATTGACTACCCTCTAAAGGGAGGGAAGTATTACCTTTCTACGTTAAGTAGCTGTTTGTCCCCAAATTATTATAGCAGCAGAAAAAGAAGAAAGAAAAACGGATTGAAATGTCTAAAGAGATTGGACAGACCAAAGACGACAGAAGAGATCTATATACAAAGTAATGTTTTTCCTTTATGATTTAAACCCTTTGCCATGTGTATTTTTTCCTTTTCAGGAGCATCAGGGGTTAAATCAAAACAGAGGTAAAACATCTTGCCCAGATTGCACAAAAACATGCTATGCAATCAGGGAACCATGAAAGTAAATGCAAGGGTAAACCTGCAACACTGTTAACACCTGGATCGTGGAGAAATAGCCATTTTGGTTTGATTTTGGTGGGTGATGCTCATCTCTGGACAGCAAGATGTACGTCACAGGGTTAAAATGAATTAGGATTCGCCTGCAACCAATCAACTTCTCGTCTTCCAGAGTGTTTTATGTGCATATCACATTTAAGGGACGATATTAGGAACATTTTAGATACCATAAAATCTCAAATAAACTCTTCAGTTAAAAAGTACATTTAAATAAAAACTTATTCTATATTCCAGTCAACCTCATATCAAGTCCCAAGGAGGACTTGATATGATAGACAGAGATATTACACACATTCTATTTGAAATGGCTGTTGAGTTCTTCTTCTGATGAAGCAGACAATAGTCCGTAAAATGCATTAACAACATGACCTCTGGCCTAACGTTATTGTACAGCAATGTAAACTAGTATTCGGTGGAGCTTAAAATGCATCAATGGTTGTGATACAAACAATTAACGTAATGCTTGTTTTTATGAATTACTATGGAATACCTGTTCAATATATACCTAAAAATAATGTACTTCTGAACTTAAGTATTTATCTGTGATTTTATGGCATCCAGGAACTAACTTCTAAAATGTGATATGCACACAGAACACTATGAAAGACGAGATGTTTATTGATTGCAGGCCAATATTTAGCAACTTTTTAATGCACTGCGTAAGGATTTATTTAAAAGTCTTGCATAACTTCTGTAAATGTGGTGGTAGAAAGAATCACAATGTTGGTACATTTAAACTCTTGCACAGTGTTTACAGTTGACCCTGCAATAGCACAGGAGGCAGAAACCCAAGACAGTAGCATAATACCTGGCAGAACCGTCAACCAGGCAGAATGTTGAGAAATCCCAATGGAATTTCCAGCTATACAAGTATATTCCCCAGCATCCTCAAAAGAAACATTTTTGACATACAAGACTTCTATCTCTTCATCTGTAATGTTAACACCGGCAGCCTGGAAGAGAGGGAGGGCAAAAAAGAAAAGAGAAAAAGCAACACCCAATGAGAAAGGGATACATGTGGAGGAGGCTCAGGAGATATCTTACTCTTGGAGAGGCATACAAACCTCTCAGGATCTCCCTCGTGTTCCACTGAGACCTTCTCCAAAGACCCAACATACCAAAGAATCACCAAGAAAAACTTTCCATTTTGGAAATGCAGGGTGCAGATTAATGCACATGACCCTTCACCAGGATTTATCACCATAAATGCATGCAATCACATAACATGGAAAAACAAGACTCACAAAAGGAGGATTTCACCTTCTGGTACATTATCATAAGAAGAAGGGGGGTATAGAACAAATAGAATGGACTACATTAGTATATGGTCAGTGAGTTAGCGGCTTCACCAATGGGCACTCCCCAGAAGATGACTGATACCCATATATCCCTTTCATGCAGTGGTGGAACCCATTATATAACTTCAGCCTATTTTTAAACCAATGAGGTAAAATCACCTAATTTCTGACTTCCTACTGCAGCCAGAATAATTGGGCAGCCTCCATAGTTGCCATCTAAACCAAATGTTGGTCACTGAAATAAAAAACAGAACTGGTCTAAAACTGAGAGCAAGGACAATTCAGATAATATTTCACTAAGAAGCATGTTTCAGAAAGAGATGCTCAACCAGCCCAAATGGCAGTTGATGAGCCTGTTACATGCATCCATTCCAGGGGATGTCCTGTCTTGCACAACCCCCAACTGCTACAATATATTCAGTTGCTATGCACAAAAAATCCAAAAGAGGCTGAGGTTTGACTACAACTGAGAATGTTCCACTCACTAAAAAGGTGCTTAAACCTCCTGCACAAGCTGTTGAAAAGAAACATAGAAAGTGTATAACCAAGATGGGGGAAGAAATACAGAAGGGTAAAGGACATTGTTCAGTGAAATCCTCCAGTTTTGTGTGCATTTTTCCATGGCCGTACAAGAGTGCAGCAAAACACCAAACCCAGATTGTTTGTCCAACGCCACCTTTGCCAGAAGCACCAAGAGCCCATCTGCATCCCGTGCAAGGCAGGAGGAGACGTTACCTGGTTCTTTTTTCATCACCGTGAGCCAGGCTGACTTGTTGGCCTTTCCAATATAATTGGAGGTGAGACAGACATATTCCCCCGCATCTGCTTCTGTCACATTGTACAGATTCAGCACCTCAGCACTGGAACTGTTTATTCCCGAGTGCTAGAAACAGGCAGGCAACACATGGGATTAACATACAGAGCTGCAATCCAGGAGAGTATGGCTCAAACTACAACTTAAATGAACTCACCAGATAAACATAAAAAAAGCAAAATGATTTGTTTGGGTTACATCATCATTTTTCTTTGCACAGCTTTAATTATTAGGAGGTCAACAATTACTGCAGCATGTGAGTGTTACAGACCCACCAACATGACCCTCATAATAAAAGGTACAAAACATTCATACTGAAACATTTTTGTTCAGTGTCACCTGACCGTTAACTATGCTCAGGGTATTGCAATCAAGAGTGGGAAGATGATCAGTAGAATATTTTGTACCTTAAAGAGTGGGTCATATTTATGAATGCTCTGGCATTATAGATGTCCTTATTTTCTAAGCCAAGACTGACTTTGACTAGATGTGAACAGCAACTGGGGACATACAACTGGTCTGTCAAAACAATCTAACTTATCAGAATTAAAGCATTGATGTGCTGCCAAATTCAACAACCTAGATATTTTAGAAGTAATAGGGACAGGTTTTAAGCTTTGGAAATGGTAGTGTTAAAAATTGGAAAGGAATCACACAGATTCACTGAGATGCAGGTTATTATTAATCAGTTAACTTTTTGTTGACAAATGCCTTATCTGCAACAAACCGAACGTATGATGTTGCAAATTATGCGTTTGTCAAGAAAAGACTATAAAAGATTTTTCTTCTAAACAAAAACTTTCCTAAGGTTTCGAATGACAGCTGTTTGCATCTTTTACCATGATGTATTGACATATCTATCATTTAAGTTTTTGATCATGGGTGGTCTGCCAATATGGAAATTAGCGGTTTTCTTAAACTGGCATCATTTGTGGACTATACTCGGCATGATGTAAAGTAAGCCTGCGACCACCAACAAAAATATAAACTAGCGGTTAAACCAAAGACTAGACACCTTCAGTTGTATGAATGCCAGTGTTGTCCTGCAGAGTGTTTGGGTGCCCCAGAAACCCAGTTCATCCTCTACTAGGAAGAGCAACTAGCTTCTGTGATTAGCCCCACACCTCTTCTGATTTACTACTGGTCATTCACTACAAGGGTTTGGACACTTAACCAATAGTAAAACACAGAGATGGAAGAGAGAGAGACTAAGCCAGTGACTATAGAAGCTGGTTGGTGTGTCCAATAAGAAAATTGGTGGCAATTAAAAGCCCACAGATTGGCGGGGTGTTCTTGAAGAGACCATTAAATATTTAATTTCTGGATCGCTGAACATAGGGAGAATATTACATGTAGGGAACAACACCCTATTCCAGCTACTTTTCTAATGGGAGAGAAAATCTGGATAATACAAAGAGGAAACAACATCACAGTCACAGCTTTATAGCTTTAACTACCATAATTTGTTAAACCTAAAAATTGTAATAATCTCTTGTTATATCATCATTCATCATAATCGCACACTGTTCTATAAATCTTATGACAAGGGATTTTTTTTTTTAAAGTTGTGTGTGTTACCGAGAGCAAGTAATCCGGTGCAAATGTTCATATTGCAGCTGCTATTTTACAGTGATGATTGGTTGCTATGAGCCACACTGGCAGTTTATATTTGAGTATTACAGACCATTGCCCTATAGATATTCCAGTAATTCTTACCTTCAAAACCTTCATGTATGGGATCCCATCCTCTCCATATCGGCTCCCATTCTCCTCCACATAGCGTATCCAGCGAATGTGGGGCTGTGCGTCGCTGTACACCTTGCATACAAACTCAGCATCCCCTCCAACAAACGAAGTAGTATTTGCAGGGAGACCAGCTTGCAGTATGGGTCGGTGAGAGGAGCGCTCTGATGGCAGAACAGAGAAACCCAGTTAATAATTAAAAGGGAAAGTATAGTATATACACTTTATTAACACTTTTATAAGATTGCTTGTACATATTTTCCTTTTTGTGTTAGAGATGTGGAGATTAACCATTAGGGGAGCTCTCAGTGGCTCAGTGATGTTACTTCATCTCTTTCTTATCAACTCGTGAATACTAAACGGTCACTCAATGGTCATTGTTTTCAATGAGCACTACTGACACCAATATGTGCGTCATCAGACACTGAAAAGGGACTTTCAGTGTCTGATGACTAATGTACCGCTTTGGGATGCTAAAATTCTGAATAATCATACCGCCAGGGAGGTTAAAGCATTACCACACATTGATAAGATTATTTACATCAAGCTGATCTCCTTTAAAGCTTGTTTATCTAAAAATATTCAAAAGATTATACATTCCTTTTAATAACTAAATTACATTAATAAATCATTTTGGAATATGTAGGCAACAGAAATTGGGTACCAAGATGGAACAAAACATGTTGAGACTGTACACAAGATATTGTAATGACCGATAGTAGAATTTGGAAGATAATAGGTGACTAGGATGAAAACAATTATTACTGTTATTAAAAGGGAAATAAAACATATTTCAAATATTATGTTCACTTTGCGTATGAATAGCAATTTAAAGCAGAAGTACTTTGGTTCACACAGAACAGTCAGAGGTAAGAGTAATATATAGTATTACAATTAACCCCCAAAGCACCTTTAATTAGTGCTTTTTGGACTCCTGGCAGAACTCAAGTTATATATTAATATAAATTAAATTTGACTTATCAGCCTCCTATAATCCCCTACAACACCACCACCACACAAAATTAGAATGTAAATGTGCAGCATTAGGATCCAATCCATTGTGCTACTGTTCACATGGAACGAAAAAGGTACATGCTGGCAGGTGGAGAGTGCAGAAAGAGGAAAGGCATGAGCTCATCATTGTGCTGCTGCTTCTACACTATCCAGTCATTAGCTGGAAACAGAGAAGGAAAAACTATTCCACTCTAAGATGTACAACTACCCAGAGGGAAAGGGGCTTTAAAAAAAACATTCCAAACATAAGCTGGAAACAGAAAGGGAACCTGACTGTATTGCTTAACTGCTGCAGAGAAAAGTGAAGTCATCAACCTGATGGTGTTGTGTGCAGGGCAGTGTAAATCGCAGGACTAGAGGAGAATGGAAGCACAATCTTTCAGAAGGTAACATGGCACCCACATATGTATTTCACCTGTGTACTTAGCTGCATGACTTGAGCCCAGCCTTTAATACGTTGGCATAAATATTCCTAAGCAGAAGGCATTATCTCTTGTACTTATTTACTTTAGAGAAAGCAAAAAATAATTATTATTCATTGACCTTATTTTGTAACTATCAAATTATTAGAGGGTGGCCAAAAAAACAACTTAAAAATAGAATTTAGTCTAAAAGGCGGCCAATGTCTGTCTTCAAATGCCATGTAATGTAAAAAAGCAGAATCAGTTATCAGCAGCTTAAGCTGCCTATAAACATGAGATGACCGCCCCCCAACACCTGGACGTTCTCAGACCATATATTCTTATCTGAATGCCCCCAAATGTCTGTGCCTTTGTGTAAAATGTTGCTGTCCTAGGCCACAATCTCTGTAGTAAAAAAAAAAAAAAATCAACCCCCCAAAAAAAGGAATTCTTATGAGCAGTGGTCAAGTCTACAAAATAGCAGTCACCTATATGAGGAATTCACTGTGAAAAATTGGACTATCTATTGCTTGGCTCTAGAAAACTATTCTAAACATCTGGGCTGGTACCCATAACAGCCAAAATTCCATATTTCATCTTAAAAAAGCAAACCTGACTGGATGCTAAAGGCAGTGGTTGCACTATTGCAACAGTTTCCCTAATTTCATAAGCATTAGAACAACATTAGAATGCAACTTGTCTCTATCGCTATTCATGTGATCCAGACGGTTTTGTAACACCTTCTTGCAATAACTTCAACGGACTGCGCTTATGTTTTGTAAAGGTCACACATTCGCTCCACAACTGTACATATCCCGAGTTATACATGTTATAAAATAAATAAGGGAAGAGACGCCAAGAAGCGAGGAGGGGGGG